AAAGTTTTGAACGTTTTGCAATTATCGAAAAATCACAATTCTCTTAAACATCCTTTACACTATCCAAAAACAAAATTTAATAAAAAATGACAAAGCCAATTTTTTAAAAATTTGGAAAATGTCTCAGAGGCCTCAGTAAAGTACCCCCCAAAATTAAAATATCATTTCAATTAAAGGGACCCGGAAATCAGCCAGACCGATTGGGGGATAGCAATTTTTGAGAAAAATGGAGAAAATGGGTTGAACTGGATTTATCCACTTTTTCATTACCAGGGCCTTGTAATAACAGTTTTTCTTCTGAAAATTCGCTGTGTTTTCATGCAGCATTACACAACTTTGCCTCTAAAAAGTGAAGATTGGAAAGATAAGTAATGAAATATATTGACAATGACTATGATATTGCACGTTTATGATGCATGCAATAGAGGTAATGAAAATATCTTTATTCTGGAAGCAGAAGAAAGGTTTTTTTTATGTTGGTTGACATTAACAATGATGGTTCTGAAATTGTCATTGATGAACTGAAAAATACAATTTCTATGGGTGCGGATGGTCACAGAAATCATCTAATCAATGACTAAAATCTGTTACAGAGCCAAGGAATGGCAAATGTTCCATAGTTTTCCTCATTTAAATGGCGAAGACTAACATTTTCAGGAGTTCATTGACAATGAATATTTGAAATTATGTGAATGTACTGGAGAATATGCCCAATCCTATTAATGTTTTATCGACAGTAATGAATTAATTTGTTTTGTTAAAAATATTGTAATTCCTGCAACTGAACAATATGCTCCACAAAAAAGCATTCTTTTTGATATACTTGAAAAAATAAAAACTTCTCTAGGGATGAATAAAGTAATGAGTTACCACTTCCTTCTCACATTCAAAAGTTACAGGTCAAATGATTCTGATCTAGGTGTTTCTTATTTGGCACTATTACGTCAGTTCAGATGTTTGAGGACATTTGCATATTTAACATTCTCCTGACAATAACAATCAATAAATAACTTATGTTCTTTCTTCAAAGACTTCATTTGTTACACACAAAGAAATTTTGTCTGACATTCCACAACAAATAAAATTAAAAATTATCAAAAACCATATTAAATATTAAACTAACAAAATTATTTAAAATGTGCAAACTAATAAATGTTAAGGTTAGTTAAATGTTAATGTGTGGAAGGACACATATCCCAAAATTTGAAAGCCAGCTTTTTAGGAAACAAAAGTTTGGAAAGTGAAAAAAAAAAAAAAAAAAAATTCATATGTAATCGTTTAACACATTGCATCTATTTTTCTAAAAGAAACTTACTTTTCTTCTCTAGTTTTCTTACATGTTTAAAAGGGTTAACAGTGGTCAAATATATGTTCAATAGTCAGATTCTGTATTTACCCGAATGCAAGTTAACTCTGTATACAATACATAATCCTAATTCTGATGCGATCTACATATAATTTTTAACTAATTCTTACAATATGGTCAAAATAAAATTGTCTAAGTAATTGTCCTGTTGATGAGAATATTAAAACTTACTGCCTGAGCTACCATTTCCTAGTTCCTTAAAATCACTGCACTCGTCACTACCCTCTTCATCTTCGCAAGTATCGTTGCTTCTTTCTTTTTGGTCCTCCATTCATGCTGAGACATTAATTTTTTAAGCCCCTCTTGAAAGTTTTCCTCGCTGAATTTGTGTTGTTTAGTCTTTCATCTTACTTCACTGACAAACATTCCCTTCCCATTGTAGGCTTTCATGGCCAGAGTCAATAGAAGATAAATTTTCTGGGCTGGTAGGCTGTGGCCCAGTTGGCATTGAAGGGTCCAATGTTTCATCCACATCTGCAGCGGACATCCTCAGTGGGGGCAGGGTTGCTGGCGCAGTGTGCCCGCGACCCTGCCGCCACTGAGGATGTCCACTGCAGATGTGGACAAAACGTTTGGCCCTTCAATGCCGACTCGACCATGGCCTACCAACCTGGAAAATTTATCATCTATTCTCTTCTGTGGCAACAGAATTTCCTCCTCTCTCCATCCTGTTATTGGCCCCTGAGTCTTTAAACGCTTTTTACATTTTATACCAGAGAATATTTGAAATTCGGATTATTTTATTGATTGAGTTGTGAACTGCAAACTCTTACCTCTTTTTTCCTTCATCTCATGCAAATGTCTAAGTTTGGGAAATTTATGCCAAGAAAATATTTTTCATCCTTTTCCATGTTTGGATGTAGAATGCATTCTCCTATCAATATACAATTTTTCATCTTCATCTCTTGCAAAACAGTTTTGCACTTGCCAGGCAACGAACCCAGAGTCTGTGGGCCATGTCAATCAGCACATCTTGCAACAAAATCTCAGCAACGATTTTAATTCATTTTCGCATTGCATTTCTCTTGATACAAAGCCATTTAGTTGAGATTCTCTCCTCGGTGCATTTAAAAATATTGGTCTCATTTGTCCACTAAATTCATGGTGCATGTTGAGTATGTTACTGTGAATATAATTAAGTAATATATGTGCATGTAATATTTTTACTGTCTTTCCAGCTTATTGTTTTGTCAACGTTTATGAGTATCCTGACATGAATGACAATGTAAAAGCAATTTCTAGTCGTCTGGGCTCAATTTGGGAATTGAAGACGTAAATACAGTGAATTAACTTTCCGACATTTCTTGTATTAGTATATGAAATCTATGAATATTAATCGAGTTCTTTGTTGTTTCACAGGGCTTTTGAATAGTTATTTTATAGGATGATATTCATTTTTTCAAATGAGAATTTTTTTTTATTACGAACTAGCGTAACCTGGCAGACATTGTCCTGCACTCCATCTCTCTTGCTCCTTCCCTCACCTTCTCTCTCTCACTGACCCTGTCTCTCTCTGTCTTTCTGTTGGTTTCTCTCTCTGGGTTTATGTCTGCCTCTTTCTCTATACCTGTCTCTCCTGGACATTATTTTACAATTGCAGAGGACACACTTCATATTTGAGAATGCTGTGGCCTAAACAGGGGTGCTGGGGTCAGCATAAAATCATCATCAATACGCATCAACGTGCGCAGGCATGTGCACATGACCATCGTACTGTGACTATATTCTTCCCACAATAAGTTGACAAAGTTTCATTGCAATCGGATGAACAGTACAGTAGCGCATTAAATACAAAACAACCAAAAAATTGTCTTTTATACATAAGATGTGAGATCAAAGAAGCTGCTGATTATTTATTTACTGAAGATGTTGGATAATGAAGATGATATTCTGGAAGACAGTAGACAAAGTTATTCCACCAAAATATGTGAAAGCGTTAACTGATGAAGAATCAAATGAAAATAATATCAATGATAATATTTTTAAAAAGGCTGAAGACTATCATGTTCCAGGAGGAGTGTTCTTGCAATTGTAGAATTGTTGAAGAAATGCTCAGGAAAATAATGTTCAATTAGCATCTGCTAAAGAAAATGTGTGATTTACAGCAAAAATTTCCTTTTTCACCAAATTCATAATCATTTTCCACGAAATCCATTCCTTAGTTGTAAAATCAAAATTGGGTAAAAAAAATGTTCTTGGCCCAAACCAGCATACCTAGGAAACCACAATTCCTTCTCAAATACAAGATTCTGATCTACTTTTTTCAAAAAATAATACAGTTATAAATCAAAAACAACCAGAATTAAAGCAGCCTGCAGCTTATATTGAAATTTAAAATGACGCAAGATGTATTTTCAAGATCTATGTTGGAAGATGGATTTCAAGAGTAATGTCCAAATTTTTCCTGCACAGTCACTTTTAAATACATAGAACGAGTTTTCACCTAAACAGTTTTCAGTTGAAAATTTATGAGCAAATGAATGATGAATGACCAGAGAAAAAATGGACAGCAAGTATTACAATTTTTTTTTAACATTTTAAGGATCAAAAAAGGTTCTACATTTGGAAATTACATCAAGAGGCCATTCCATAAGTACAGATACTATTACAAGGCAACACTACATGGGCATATTGCAACATTCTGAACACACCAAAGAACAAGTTTGGGGATTCGAAACTCTAGCCCAAGAACTCATTGATGCTTTCACAGTACATCACTTAAAAATACTATCAACTTGCTTGCAAGCTTCTTGAAGGGCTGAAGAAAACTCATCATAATTGGGAGGAGGATAGTTCTACAAAATCTATCATATGCTACATTAATTTAAGATAATCCAACACTTCAAGCTCTGACTTTCATGAACCCTCTGAAGTGTGCATGTGTAAACAAAAACACATCTAGTGAACAAATATAAAGTTATATCAATGACAGCTCATTTCAAATTTGGAAAATTATAAATGTTGTACATGACTACATTCAAGAAACCCTCCACACTCATTGGCTAAACCACGAAGACTGTACGGAAGATATTCAACTCTGGTGGTGGAGATATAATGAAAAGCATTGGTAGCTTTTCAGCCTACCTGAACTTCAATCACATCGCACGGTCAATGGAAGAATATTTTAATATATTTTTGGCCGATGGTCATCAAGCTCATGTATCAAGTCGACACCTTCTACACTTACACACACTAGAGTGTAGATGGCTCTAATCATGCACATTGCTACTTGCTGAAAAGAGCCGAGATAAGTCTTTTATTAACTATGTGATATTGCTGAAGTTCAGGTGTGCCAATTATCTGCCAAAGTTTTTCGTACATACCTCCACCATGTCTCCCATCCCGGAGTTGAGTCTCCTTACAGTCTTCATGGGTTGATTCAACTTCTTATAGAAACTAATTAACCTTATTCATTCATTAACCTAAATCACAATTAGAAAGTTGTTCAGTGAAACAAGTAATTAATTAAAATGGGAAGCCACAAAAACCAACTGATAGCAGTTCATTGAGTAATTAATATTGAAATTAATTGTATTCATGAACTCAGTTCATAACATTACTGTTATTGCATAATGCAAGTATACAATTATCTGACTTTTAATAATGTTATGTAAAATCAAGAAAATTAAATTACCTGTCAAAGGAGGGGGAAGTAGGTCCTGCAGGGCAGGTGCAGGTTGGGAAGGTGTTGAGGCAGCACTGGACGTGCGACGTTTCTTCTTTGCCTGGATGGGGGGGTCAGGCACTCCAGCCACTGGGGGCTTGAACTCTGGACCCATACCTCCCAGTGGCAGACTGAAACAGCAGAGTTCATACACTTTGTTAATCACAAAACTATACAAAATAAGAGTGGCAAGTGGGAAGAGGAGGCTCTTCCACTTAGCACACTTTCCTTCACTACCTGCAAGGATGGATTTACAGCAATATTTTCTCTTATAACATTAAGAACTTTTTATTTGAAAACCAGCAATAAAATTCCATACTACATACTTTAAAATATAGAGAGAGACACTAGAACTCTTATATCAAGTAATTCATATCTCAACTACTCTACAACAACAATTCCTTTAGTAAGTAACAGCGTACTGTTTGCACACTATACCACCAAAACGAATTGCCTATGAGGTTTTAATGTTACACCATATGCAAATACTTACAACCATTATTTAATATGATTTTATTTAATATGATTCTTTGACAAAATTAGAATTTGGGATGATTGATAGCTGTAAGCCTCTTAGATAAAGAAAATCTTATCTTATAGTCATATGGAAATTGTTTCAAGAACATAAAACAATGAATTGTAATGCTTTATAAATGTTCTGAACTTTTGCCATCACATACATGCACGCTACAATTTGAAAAGAACATATCAGTCACATTTGCAACATCTTGCTGCTATATTAGTGATACACAAAGACATACAAATATTAACAAACCTGCAAGAATTTGCAAGATGTTTTTCACTTCGTTCATCATGAAAGCAAGGCCCACGCTGCATGTGTTGTGCATCGCCACCAGGCCCCTGGAAGTACATATGGTTCCTCCCCCTTGGCATGCTGCACAAACACAATTGATGATTAGAACATATTTTCCAGATAGATTAAAAACAATTGTTCATACAAGATTATTTCGCTTCAAATTACCTAGAGTCCATACCTGACAAAGGGCGCCATCCCTGCAATGTTCTGGCTCATGTCCCTTCACTTTACCATCCCTTCACTGTCTATTAACCTCCTCTGCTATTTCTTTGATCATAACACTCTATAATTCTGAAATCATGTTTATACGATGAGGTACACTTCATGAGGTAATATATGCATCACTAACACACATAATATTATTATTAGTTTTTGTTAATCCACACAATGGTGAGGGCTTCTCCTCCACCTAACCTTACCGTAGACGGCATATGCATCAATTTGCAGACATTCTTAACATTATTCAGAACTTTTCGTCCGTCCTTAAATTTAATAGTAAATAACTCAGCGAAGTGAAATAAAAACTTACTCGAGCATTTTGATCTTAAATCTGAAGCAGTCGGTTTCATTTGTCACTTTTTACGGGAGCGAGCCACAATGATATTAAAAAAATGCACACTACAATTCCAATGTTAATATCTTCATTTTCCACAAACATATAACTTCCTTATCGATCTACCAAAAACATTTACTAATGCTCAAACTCTCTAATACAAAATACAAATAAGATATATTTGTCACTTATATTCTGAAACAGCCAAAACACACGCCACTCTCATATCGCCATTGTCTATTTTCTTCATTCACAAACAACAGATAGCGCCTTTATCGTGTAGCCGTAGACTTGCTTCTCAAGACGATTGGGAAGGCCGAGAGTGGCCGAGAGTGGTTTACGATTATACACGAGGTCCATGGGTATGTAGGCTCGGCGGAATTTCGTTTTGCTTGTCTTCTGAAGCGCAAGCATTCCTTGGTATTATAATTGCGGCACCAAGTGGCAAACGGTATTGCCGCTACTGATTTATGAGCAATGAAATTAAAAGTGTTAATATTAAATAATGTTGTTGCGTCTAAATAAAGTAGAAATTGAGTATGGGCGTAGTTGTCGAAGCGCGATGGGCGTGAATCATCGAAATAATAAATAGGTATTAGTTTTTTCTCGTGTTGAATGAGAATATTTTTTTAACTTCCACCGGTTTAATGATGCCTTCTTTCTGATAATTTTAATAATGATGCCTTTTCCTTTCTGCATATGAGCATTAATACTAATTATTAAGACTAATTATATCTTACATAGAAATTAATTTTTGATTTTAATATATTTCTTCAATCTTATATTTGATCTATTTTCAAGAGTTTTTTTTAACCATGAAGTATATAAAATTTATCTAGTATCATACCTATGTATTTTTTTTTTCTATTCATGTCCAGTAACAGGAAAAAATTCAAATAAATTTGCCTGATGATCAGTTATATTTAGTTACTAACTACAATTTAATTACTGCCTTATCTCCACATGCAGAGATTCTCAAATTTTTTCTACTCTTCCAAACCATCTTACATAAGTAAATAATATTAATGTAATGCATCCCAACTGAACTGAAAGTTACCTTTGCTAAGCCAAAATGATCTCTCTCCCAGAAGTTCCCACTTTGAGAATAATGAATACAATCTGCATTCATTTTGAACCTAACATTCAATTATTAAGCAACGTAGAGCTTTAATCGCTTTTCACCTTTGTTCACATATATCCACGAAATTGAAATAGCTTGAAAAACAGTAAATTATTTTAACAATCTTTCATTATTCTGTGAGTCAATGTTCACTTTACTCCTGAAAATTCATGCAAATAGAGCATGAAACATGTGTAAATTATTTATTTATCTTCTATGGATAAATAAATATATGACTGAAATTTTAAGTTTTCATAAAAGTTTATGTGATTTGATTTGATGTTTGAAAGCCAAAAAGGATACATAAGAACACTAAAATTTATAATTAGACAATCACTGAAGGTATTGTAACAACAAAACTATTATTTATATAGTTTCAAGACCTTTATATAGCTCCATACACAAGTAGTTTCTTTTAACAGCTATCTTGTATTTGTATAATATTGATTTATGGGCCTTCTAGTTCTAGATGTGCCCCTATCCCCAATAATGTTTATTTGAAGGCTGCGTTCAAAATTATTAAAATATCATTTTTATTTTCTACCGCTTACGCAGTAGAAAGAAAGTTATGTGTGGGAAAAAGCGGTGAATTTTCGGCTGAAAAACTCTTATTGCTGGGCCCTGGCAAAGAAAAAGTGGATAAATCCGATTTCTAAATCGATAAAAATATCCTCTAACACGTGATGTAGCCAGAATCCATGTTTTGTGGGCCATTGATACCGAAAAGTCAATTGACGGCAAAACGTGTCTGTCTCTTTGAACAACCCTAGCGGCTAAACTGTTCAGCCGATTTTTTCAAAAATTGATATTCCGCAAACGATCTAGCTGATATCGCGACGCCTTGAATTTGAAAACAATATTTCAATTTCAGGGAGTACTTTACATGAAGCCCCTGAGACATTTTCAAAATTTAAAAAAATGGCTCCACCGTTTTTGTTAAACTTTGTTATTGGATAATGTGAAGGACATTTAAGAGAATAGTGTAAATAGTGTAGGTGTCGGGTTCGTTAAAAACCCTGATTTTTCGAAAATTGCAAAAGCTTTTTTTTTCTCTCTCTTCCTGCAGCTAAAATATTAAAGATGAAGTTTTTTTCTAAATAAAATCCATTTCTTAAAGACATATTGAAATATAATCATGTAAAATTTTTCGAAAAATTGAGTACCTTTCGCGTAATTTTCCGTGAAATATAAGTAATTTTTAATTTTGTTTAAACAATTTTTTCTCAAAAACGGCACCACCAATTTTGATTAAATTTTGACCTCGAATAGTTTAAGACAGCTACTAGCGCCTAAATCATATAAAGGATTTTTTCCAAATTGAAGAAACTCTGTTCTATCTAGCTCGAATCTAAATTTTGAGATTTTGAAAATATTTTTTAAAATATGGGGATATTGTACAAGAAATCCCTGGGCATTTTCAAATTTGTCTCAAAATGCCTCCAATTTTTTCTTTAAATTGCTTAGAAGAATAGAGTTAAATACGCTTTAAAGGTGACATAGGTCCGATTTTGACGGTTATCTCTAAATTTTAGAAAATTGCAAAAGTATGGATTTATGTTCGGTGTCTTCCTACAACTACAAAATTAAAGATTGAGATTTTTCCTTCAAATGAAATTTGTTGTTCCATAGTCAGTTCTTTCAATAATGTCATGGAGATGTTTTGGAAAATTTTAGTAGTTTTTAGCAATATTTGCTATTTAAAAAAATTACAAAAACAAGTTTTTATCAAAATACAGCTCCAATATTTTTCTTTAAACTTTTGGTAGGGATGTGTTAAATGCACTCCATAAGACGACATAAACACCATATTTGCTCTATTGATTTATTTTTCAAAAACTAAAAAATATAATTTTTGACTTGTCTCTCATGTCATTAATATTTACATTAGCGGCAGTTTGTTCACATTATATGAATATATGAATACATGTACTTTAAATAATGCCAGATAAAGTTTCTGGAATGCTGAGCTGTTTTCAGTTAAATCGAACTCAAAATTTCGCATTTTCAGAAACGCTCAAACGCTATTTTCTTTAAAATGGCTCCAAATTTTTTCTTCAAACTTTTCCAACAGAAAGTGCTAATTGCACCGTTTAATATGGCATAAAGTTCATTTTGCTGTATTGGTTTGGTTTTTCCAAAAATTCACAAATGTATTTTTTTGTAATATCTCTCACGCCTTTAATATGCACATTTCCAGCAATTTGTAAATACTATTGCATTTGAGATTGCAAGTACTCGAAATGTTTTCATTTGAAGTTTTTCTAAAACTAAAAAAGTGAATCTGTGAAAAAGAGGTTCAAATTTCGCATTCAGAGTAACGCTTAAAAAATATTTTCTTAAAAATGACTCCACATATTTCAGTAAAAGTTACCATTTAGGATGAGGTTTTACTCTTCTTTAATATTTTTAAAGTAATAATTCCGTTTTACTCGTAGAAAACTGAAAAATTGAGAAAAGTTTTTTAAAAAATGTACTTTGGGCGGTGATACACGGCAGCTGCAAGAGGATGGGACAAGTTCAGAATAGCTAGTCCAGAGAGAAAAAATTAATTCGAGAAACTCTGTGCCATTCTGTTCCATCACTAGTTTTTTTGAGTAATTTGGCGGCGAACATAGTCGCTCGCTCCTAATGTCCTGCGCTTCGTGAACAAGTGTTTCCAGGTAATTGGATGGTACCTGTTAGAATTCGTATATTATTTCATATTTCTTAGTTCGTTTCTTAAATTCGAGCATTTTTTGTACGCTTACATATTAATCTTCTGGAAATTATTTAAAACGTATTTAAAATATATGAAGTAAAACTTGCTAACCTTCAGGGAATATCAGATTTGAATGGAACAATGGCATTCCGCGCCGCAAGACAGCAGCTGTCTTCCTGAAAATTATGTATCATTGTTGGGACATTATTTAGCTGTATGAAAAGCAGTTCAAATTGTCAAAATTGTGTTGATATATGCGTAAAAATATTTCATATTCCCACCGAATGTTCTACCATTTGTAATGAGTGTTTCTAAAAATAATGACTGAGATGTGTTGAATCGGAGAAAATTTCTGGTATAAGTAGTGTTACATAACCATTACCCAGAGCGAGAAAGTACGTGCTGTTTTAGAACTACTAGTTTATTTTCTCGCTACTGCTTACGCAATTTATATAGAAAGTATTATAATGCTGCGGGAAAAAAATAATTTTAGAAAGAAAAACTCTTATTGGCGGACCCCGATAACGAAAAAGTGGATATATCTTGCGCCTATATTATACAGTAAATTACTTGCTGTAACACCTTGCGTAGTCACAATCCATGTTTTGTGGGTACTTGATTACAAATAATCGATTGACGGCAAAACGTCACTTAAACCGTTCAGTCGATTTTCTCCCAAATTGATATTCTCCGATCGATCAGGCTAATGTTGCGGCCCCATGATTTTTTGAGAATTGGAAAAAATCAATTTTTTTGTCTTCCTACAACTAATATTTTTTTCGCGTATAGGCCAACTCGAACCACACATGAATCCTGCTTCAGGTGCAAATACCTTTCTAGGAGGGCGGGGGGCAACCTTTTATCTGAATACCGATTTTTGTCCCCCAAGGCTGTTAACCCTGGGGTATTGACAATGATGATGATGGATGAAAGGGCTTCACACACATATGGACATACACAAATACACCCGAGGCGGGACTCGAACCCACTTTATTGTGGTCCGAGACCGCTACGGCACTACTGTCTTAACGATCTCGGCCTGACTGGCCTGATCTGACTGGCTCCGCAGTCACAATATTGAATATAACAATTTTTTCCTTTATAAAATCTGTTTCTTAAAGACATATTGAAATAAGGTTATTTAAATTTTTCGAAAACATGAGTAGTTTTAGAGTAATTTTGCGCAAAATATAGGCAATTAAAACAAAAAGTTCAACATTTTCTCTCTCTCTCTCAAAAATTGATTTAAATTTTTCCTTTAACTTTCTTCTCATATGTGACAGTAAAAAATGTGGTGCTTGTCCCATTAAACTGCATGTGACGTATGGGGGCGATCATCTGCGCACGTTTTCTTGAGTTCCAGAATCCCTTTCCGCCATTTTAACTATAAATAGTTAAAAGATGAGTAAAAGTTTAAGATAAATAAAAAAAGTGCGAGATTAGCAATATTTGAAAAAAAAACTAGTCCATTTTGTTCCCGAGTTAGAGAAAACTTATTTGTATCGGTAAAAGAATTGCAGATATGATTTTTCTGCACTGTTAACAAAA